CAGTATATCTGCCCATCATATCGGTATATCTGCTCATCATATCAGTATATCTGCTCATCATATCAGTATATCTGCCTATCATATCGGTATATCTGCTCATCATATCAGTATATCTGCTCATCATATCGGTATATCTGCTCATCATATCAGTATATCTGCTCATCATATCAGTATATCTGCTCATCATATCGGTATATCTGTTCATCATATCAGTATATCTGCTCATCATATCAGTATATCTGCTCATCATATCGGTATATCTGCTCATCATATCAGTATATCTGCTCATTATATCGGTATATCTGCTCATCATATCAGTATATCTGCTCGTCATATCGGTATATTTAATTATTATATTGGTGTTTTGACTCATCAGTAAATTTGTTCATCATATTGGTATATCTGCTCATCAAATTGGTTTATCTGCTCAGCATATTGTTATATCTGCTCATCATAATGTTATATTTGCTCATCATATCGGTATATCTACTTATTATATTGGTGTTTTGGCTCATCAAATAGGTAAATCTGCTCATTATATTAGTATATTAGCTCATCCTATCGGTATATCGGCTCGGCATATTGTTATATCTGCTTATCATATTGTCATATCTGCTCATCATGTCGGTATATCGGTATATCTGCACATCATATTGTTATATCTGTTCATCATATTGTTATATCTGCTCATTATGTTGGTATATCAGCTTATATTGGTATATTTGCTCATCATATTGTTATATTTGCTCATCATATCATTATATGTGCTTATCATGTCGGTATATCAGTGTATATCGGTATATTGGCTCATCATATCGGTATATCGGCTCACCATATTGGTATACCAGCTCATCTTATCGGTATATCAGCTCATCATATTGTTATATTTGCTCATTGTATCAGTACGTCGGCTCATCATGTTGGTATATCAGCCTATATCGGTATATTTGCTCATCATATCGGTATATCTGCTCATAATATCAGTATATTTGCTCATCATATCTGTATATTTGCTCATCATATCGGTACACCTGCTCATCATATCGGTATACCTGCTCATCATATCGGTATATTTGCTCATCATATTGGTATATTTGCTCATAATATCTGTATATGTGCTCATCATATCTGTATATGTGCTCATCATATCGGTATATTTGCTCATCATATTGGTATATTTGCTCATAATATCTGTATATGTGCTCATCATATCGGTATATGTGCTCATCATATCGGTATAGCTTCTCATCATATCAGTATATCTGTTCATCATATCAGTATATCTGCTCATCATATCTTTATATCTGCTCATCATATCGGTATATCTGCTCATCATATTGGTATATCTGCTCATTATATCTGTAGATCTGCTCATCATATCGGTATATCTGCTCATCATATCAGTATATCTGCCCATCATATTGGTATATCTGCTCATCGTATCGGTATATCTGCTTATTATATCAGTATTTCTGCTTATGTCTTTATATCTGCTCATTATATCGGTATGTCTGCTCATAATATCAGTATATCTGCTTATCATATCAGTATTTCTGCTTATTATATCTTTATATCTGCTTATCATACTGGTATATCTGCTCATAATATCTGTATATGTGCTCATCATATCGGTATATTTGCTCATCACATCGGTATATCTGCTCATCATATTGGTATATTTGCTCATCATATTGGTATATTTGTTCATCATATCGGTATATCTGCTCATGATATCTGTCATGATATCTGCATGTACTCATCATATCATTATATGTGCACATCATATCGGTATAGCTGTTCATCACATGGTATATCTGCTCATCATATCTGTAAATTTGCTCATCATAGTGGTATATCTGCTTATAATATCAGTATATCTGTTCATCATATTAGTATATCTGCTCATCATATCGGTATGTCTGCTCATCATATTGGTATATCTGCTCATAATATCAGTATATCTGCTGATCATATCGGTATATCTACTCATCATATCGGTATATCTGCTAATCATATCGGTATATCTGCTCATCATGTTGATACATTTGCTCCTCATATCGGTATATCTGCTCATCATATCGGTACATTTACTTATTATATCGGTGTTTTGACTCATCATATCAGTAAATCTGTTCATCATATTGGTATATCTGCTCATCAAAATGTTATATTTGCTCATCATATCGATATATCTACTTATAAGTTAGTAAATCAGCTTATATTGGTATAATATCTCATCATATTGGTATATCTGCTCATCATATCGGTGTATCTGCTCATTGTATTGGTATATCTACTCATTGTATAAGTATATTTTCTCATCATATCAGTATATCTGCTCATTATATTAGTATATCTACTCATTGTATCGGTATACCTGCTCATCATATCAATATTTTTGGCTCATTATATTGGTATATCTGCTCATCATATCATTAAATCTGCTCATCACTGTGTGTTTGCAGTTGGCTTTAACCCGAACAACCGAACCCACCGCAGTCTGCTGCTCTGCCTGCTCATGACCTCCTGTGACCTTTCAGACCAGACCAAAGGCTGGAAGACCACCAGGAAAATTGCGGTACCTCACACACACACACACGCGATAAACACACGATAACAGATAAACAGACAGCACCAATGCACACACACAGCTGTGAGAAAGAGTTATGTAAACACTCTTGTTTTCCTCTTGTGTCTCTCAGGAGCTGATCTATAAGGAGTTTTTCTCTCAGGGTGATTTGGTGAGTTCAGCTGCAGTCTCTCTGCCTGTGTTTTCAGATCAGACACACAAATCAAGCATTGAGGAGAGAATATGTGTGTTTTATCACCAAGAGGCCTGATACGTGTGTGTGTGCGTGTGTGTGTGTGTGTGTGTGTGTGTGTGTGTCTGTGTGTGCAGGAGAAGGCGATGGGCAACAGACCCAGTGAGATGATGGACCGAGAGAAAGCCTACATCCCAGAGCTCCAGATCAGCTTCATGGAGCACATCGCCATGCCCATCTACAAGTCAGAGCTCTGCACTCTCACAAATGCATACAAACATTTCTGTTTAATAAAACTGTTTTGTTGAAATACACCAAAATATATTACTTATATTCACTGCGAAATAGCCCAAAATATGTATAGTTTCAAAATGGGGTGCACTTATTTACGCTGAGCACTGTGTATATATATATATATATACCACATTAATTCATTAGTAACAGTGTTGCCAACTTATATATTCAGTGTCATATACTAAGTAAGGTTAATTCATTTACTAATTTCGAGGGGATCACGTGTTTATGATTATTACGGCCGGTCTTGCATTTGCTAATCACTATCTTCCAATCATATGAGCCCTAAGCTACTATAAATAGCCACAGTTTTCAGTTCACTTTATCGTCGTTTGGAAGAAACCCCCCTCCTCCCCTATTCTCCTCCTTTACCTCTGATTGGGCGGCACGGCGGCCCAGTGGTTAGCACTGCGAGCCCCACAGCAAGAACACTGCCAGCCCTGGTTCCACAGGACCGGTGGGTGTTTCTGTGAGGAGTTTGTATGTTCTCCCCGTGTCCGCGTGGGTTTTCCCCGGGTTCTCCGGTTTCCTCCCACCATCCAAAGACATTCAACATACATAACAATCAAGCTTTGTCTAATCCCTTGTGTTCCCTTAGCTACCGCAGCAGGGGAGTTCTGAGATCCACCGAGCTCAGGCTCCCCTCTTGCTCTGCCAACGGGAGGAAGCCCCGGGCTCGAGGAGCCCTTGAGCTCGGGGCTCTCTCCCGGGACAGCATGCCAAACAAGCTTTTATAAATCATCAGCTAAGTGTGAACTCTTGAACTATATTTAGCGACTTCTTAGATCTCTTTAGGGACACATTTTCAAAAAATCGACTCGTGACAAATCTAGCGACCTTTTTTGGTGTTACTGAAGATTTTTGTAGACTCTCCATACTGTATCGTTCCTACTCTTCTCAATGAGCTGTGGGTGATGCCGTCGGCCCGTTCCCCTCCACACATGGAAGCCCAGTCAGTCCTCACCAATGACTGTAAAAAATATGGACGACGCGACAGCCCCTTTTCCCATTGAACGCCTTGAGGGCAAAACGCCTGCTTGACGGGCACAAACTGTCGCAAAAGACTGCTGAAATTGGAGCCAGACATGCGCAGAAGGATTGTCTGATGGAGCCAGAGGAGGAGCCGCGAGTCGAGCTTCCAACCAAACGCTTTATGTAAAATCAACCACGCCCCCCGAACTTCTCAGCATGCGTTTGCTGTCATATCAACACAAATGGATGTAATAACGTTAACAAAAGTGAGTGTTTTATATATTCAATCGCGCCAGCACCGGACCGCAGCGCATAACCTACTCGCAGCGTCGCAGGCTGATTCCGGCTCGATTGACTCGGGCTGGAATCGGGCAGTGAGTCAGGCATCCGGAGTAGGTCCAGCAGAGGTAGTCAGTCTGAGCTCTGAAGGGTAAGTCTCCGGCAGGCAAAAAATCTAGCCGGAACTGGTCCGAGTGTATTTTGCTATCTGGGTGGTTAGGCGTGTATTAGCAAACTAATAAAGCCCGAAATAAGCCCTGAACTTAGCGAATAAACAGTGTTCCACCAGGATCATGTATGTCAGAAACTGTAGTTTACTGCTGAACTCATCGTCATGGTAAAATAACACAGAAATCGAATAATAACACTTCAGTCTCCTGCCGAAGCTCAGACGCGCTGCTTTGAGAATCTGTCAATCACCGCTGTCAATCACGATGACACGCCCAGCATTAAATTACTGCTAAAAACAAACTGTTTACACAAATGAAGATCTGCACCTATTTCAGCACAATAATCAGTGCCTTAATCCACCAGAACCATCTTTCGGGACAATTTATTGCAAGTGTAATACATTTTTTTTATTTGGGCTCAAGTCTCCTTCATTAACACGGAGGAGGCGGGCTTTATGACTTGTACTGCAGCCAGCCCCCAGGGGGCGATCTAACGGCCGAGACCTTCACTCAAACGCAGGCTTGCGGCACACTTGGTCCTCACACAGCATCCTCTCCTACCTGTAGCCTGAAAGCAGATCATTCTTCTGCGTAACGATGGCAAATGTTTTAGCATCAGATGTTGGGGTATTTCCCTGGCGCAGTCAAGCGGATCTGCTTTTCCCCTGCTTTAAATTTAACTCAAAGGTTTATTATTTTGATTCTTGTTCACAATCAGAGATCTTAGTGACACCAGTTTTTGAACTTGTCTAATATGTTATCTAATATTTTGTTAATATGTCCTGCAAATTCACCACACATCTATTGTATTCAAACAATGCATTTAATTAAATCGACATATATAAAGTGTAGTGCAAAAATAAAATCCCCTTTATTAAGCGAAGGCTGTTAAACTAACTGAAGCTGTTGCGCGTGATGACGTAATTAATATGCAAATTGACACATGGCGTAATCTAGAGACGTTTGGCAACTTTTCTACCAGAGCTTAACTCCTTTTCATTGAAAATAGTTGGCAACACTAATTAGCATGGTCATCCTGATGCACACCACCACCTTCAAGATACAACGTTTGACCCATTGGGTCACATGGTCTACCATGTAATCGTATGGGTAATCGAATGTGTGAATTGTAGCCTCAGTTTCCTGTTCTTAGCTGACAGGAGCGGCACCCGGTGTGCTCTTCTGCTGCTGTAGCCCATCCGCCTCAAGGTTGGACGTGTTGTGTGTTCAGAGATGCTCTTCTGCAGAGCTCGGTTGTATCGAGTGCTTATTTGAGTTACTGTCGCCTTTCTATCAGCTGGAACCAGTCTGGCCATTCTCCTCTGACCTCTGACCTCATCAACAAGGCATTTGCGCCCACAGAACTGCCGCTCACTGGATACTTCCTCTGTGTCGGAGCATTCTCTGTAAACCCTAGAGATGGTTGTGCGTGAAAATCCCAGTAGATCAGAAGTTTCTGAAATACTCAGAGCAGCCCGTCTGGCAGCAACAACCATGCCACGTTCAAAGTCACTAAAACCCCTTTCTTCCCCATTCTGATGCTCGCTCTGACCTGCAGCAGATCCTCTTGATCATGTCTACACGCTTAATGCAGTGAGCTGCTGCCATGTGATTGGCTGATTAGACATTTGCATTAACGAGCAGTTGAACAGGTGTACAGTAATACAGAAACAATCTAGTCCAGACCTCCTCATGGTTGTGTTGTGATAGTCTTCCTCTGCTCTTGTTTCCAGGCTCCTGCAGGAGATTTTCCCGCGTTCGGCCGAACTGTACGAGCGGGTGTCTGCGAACCGGGAGCAGTGGGCCAAAGTCTCACACAAGTTCACCATCCGCGGCCTACCCAGCAACAACTCGCTGGACTTCCTGGACGAGGAGTTCGAGATGCTGCAGTCGCAGGGAGCCTTCGGGGACGAACCACAGCGCTTCAACGGCTGCATGGAGGACGAGTGTGACAAACACTGACACACACATGCCAACACACACATGCAGTCGCAGGGAGCCTTCGGGGACGAACCACGGTGCATCGACGACTGCATGGAGGACGAGGGTGACAAACGCTAACACACACACACACACACGCATGCAGTCACAAGAAGCCTTCGGAGGTGAGCCGCAGTGGATCAGTGGCTGCATGGAGGACGAGTGCGACAAACACTGACACACACACACACATGCAGTGGCAGAGGAGCAGAGGATCCACACACTAATGATGGACAGTGTGTGTGTGTGTGTGTGTGTGTATGTGTATGTGTGTGTGTGAGAGACGATACACTCAAACACTGACTGATGAAACCGCTGCTTCTGATCACTAAACAGATTAACACCCAAAAAGATTACGGTAACACTTTACTTAAAGGGAGTGTTCATCGAACGAACCACAGAACCACAGAACGAACGAACGAACGAACGAAAGAAAGAACCACAGAACGAACGATTCTTTTTCAAGTAAAGTTCATTACAATACCAGCTAATAATGGTTTAACCCTTTGAAAGCTTTATCGGGAAAACTCTGGAGTGTTGCTGCGGATTATTATAAGACGTTTGAACTTGAATAATTCATATTTTAATTATTGCCATTAAAGTGAGCATATACGGTTCTTCACACAGTAAAGAATTAAAGGAAAACTCGAAATTGCTCATTTTACGGCTCTCACAGGGTTAAACACTTGAGTTTTACCTGTTTTTTAATTATTCAGCTGTTCTCCAGCTCTGGCAGGAGCACTTTTAGCTTAGCATAATTCATTGAATCGGATTAGACCGTTAGCATCGCGCTCAAAAATGTCCAAAGAGTTTCAATAATTTGTTGTATTTACATTGTGTATTAAGACTAACAGAAAATCTACAGGTGTAAGGGTGTCCTGATTGGTTGTTAGGTGGTTACTAAGATGTTATGTGGTTGCTAGGGTATTCTGAGCAGTCTGCTAAGGAATGTATCATTTCTGATTGGTTGCCATGTGGACACTAAGAGTTTCAATAATTTTCTGTATTTATATTGTGTACTAAGACTGATGGAAAATCCAAAGTTGCTGGGGTGTTCTGGGTGGTTGTTAGGTGGTTGCTAATGCATTGCTGGGTGGTTGCTATGTGTAATAACCAGTGTTGGGTGTATTTAGTTTGAAAGTAACTAGTTACTGTAATTAAATTACTTTTCCACTGAAATAAGTAAAGTAAGGAATTACTTTTAATTTTGAGTTCATTTAATCACAGTTCTTTACTGTGTAAATTAAACAGCTCTGGATAAATCAGAAGCAGAGGAATACATTTTTACTTAGGAGTATTTAGCATTTGTCAAAACCTTAACGTCCATTTGACATCCACACATCAATGCCCTTCTGACCAACACAATAATGACACAAAAATAATTATTATAATATATATTATAATATATAACACTTTTTTATTAATCTGAAAGATTCAATTACAAAAATCTACACAGAATTTATTACCCTTACAATCAATGTAAACTAATCCTGATGTCAAAATTCACTTCTAATACTTTTGTCAAAAACACACCAAAAATCGGTCCTAGGATCAATCTTTGACACTAATGTTAGATATTAGACTGTCAAGGTATTCAACTGACATCATAACAATTTACGTTTGTAATGTGTTCATTTTTTTGCATGTATTTTGATATCGTCTTGACATCAGTGTCAAAATTATTGAAACTCTTTGGTCATTTTTGCGTAAGGTGCTAATGGTCTAATCCACTTCAATGACTTATGCTAAGCTAAGCTAAAAGTCCTCCAGCCAGACCCTGCAATCAGCTAAATGATCTAACTCTATGAGAGCCAAAAAATTAGCATATTCACAAAAATGTTTTCCTTTAACCCTTTATAGGGCACTCTTTGAAATACTCATTGACAAAACCGAAACCTTACGGTTTACAAGATTAAAGAATTATATTGTAGTCAATGTCTGTAAAGTACGTGAATGTGTTTTTCAGCCAGTAAAGGGTTTTAATCAGTTATTCCTATTTTTTGCTGTAGTGTGTCATCATCACATTTTATGTAAACAAGCTCAAACTTTTATTCCAAATTAAAAGTTTGCACTTATTTTCCTAAAATACAATTAAAAACATTGTTATATTAAAAATATATTATGTTTAATATTAGTGATACATTTTTTAAAAATCTAAATTTGTAATGTGTGATTACCGTACATATATTATTCCGCTTCACCTGGATAATATTAAATGCATAAGGGAAAGCCCCGCCCCCTACTCAATATTCAGCTTTAGTTGAAAGCGAATCAACATACTGAAATAAAAGTCTCAGAAACTTCTGCTTCACTTGGACTTGTTTGGGACAATGTTTAGGAGTTGAATGGATTATTTGACACATTACAGCAACAGATTGAGATAACTGATTTAAAGACATTTTTAGCTGGTGGAGAACGAGCGTTTGAATAATTTGGGCTCCGCTGTAATTGGTCAGAAATGCCCAACAATAGAAGCTCAAACTAAAATGAAACTGTTGTGAAAAGAACAGTTCTATTCTTACACTGTTACAGTTTTGTTCATTTTCATTTTTTAGTTGCTGTTACTTTGTTTACATTTAAGTAATGTGAGATTCATTTCTATAGTGCTCCACCGTATAAAACTGATTGTATCAAAGCAGCTTCGACAGTAATAAACTGGGAAATACCGGAATTAATTATAGAAAAACCTCAACAGAATCATCAGGCAAATCCCAATTCTGCTGTAAAGTGACACAATATTGTCACAATAAAAAAGCAAAAATAATCAACCCAGGCTCATTCTGTAAACGTTCCCCTGTATGCATTTCTGGAGAGCGCCAAATACATCCCAGGAGTGTTTTTGTGAATCTACTAGTGGCTGCTGTGTACGCCTTTTAAGTTCTCAATTTCTCTCGCCAGTGCCATTTGTGCCTGCTTTTCTCATATAAATCCACCAGAGGCCACTGTCAACTAACTGACCCACTCTCCTCCTTCCCTAAACCCAGTTAATAGTGTTTTCAAAAACACAGATTGACCCGTGCGCACCCACTTCCTTCAACCCAACCGATAGTGTTTTCAAAAACACAGATTGACCAGTGCCAACCACTCCCCTAAACCCAACTAATGGTGTTTTCAGAAACACAGGTTGACCAGTGCCGACCCACTTCCCTAAACCCAACCGATAGTGTTTTCAGAAACACAGATTGACCCGTGCGCACCCACTTCCTTAAACCCAACCGATAGTGTTTTCAAAAACAAAGATTGACCAGTGCCGACCCACTTCCCTAAACCCAACCGATAGTGTTTTCAGAAACACAGATTGACCAGTGCCGACCCACTTCCTTAAACCCAACCAATAGTGTTTTCAGAAACACAGATTGACCCGTGCCGACCCACTTCCCTAAACCCAACCAATAGTGTTTTTAGAAACACAGATTGACCCGTGAACACCCACTTCCTTAAACCCAACCGATAGTGTTTTCAGAAACACAGATTGACCCGTGCGCACCCACTTCCTTAAACCCAACCGATAGTGTTTTCAAAAACAAAGATTGACCAGTGCCGACCCACTTCCCTAAACCCAACCGATAGTCTTTTCAGAAACACAGATTGACCAGTGCCGACCCACTTCCCTAAACCCAACCGATAGTGTTTTCAAAAACAAAGATTGACCAGTGCCGACCCACTTCCCTAAACCCAACCGATAGTGTTTTCAGAAACACAGATTGACCGGTGCGCACCCACTTCTTTAAACCCAACCGATAGGGTTTTCAAAAACACAGATTGACCAGTGCCGACCCACTTCCCTAAACTCAACCGATAGTGTTTTCAGAAACACAGATTGACCCGTGCACACCCACTTCCTTAAACCCAACCAATAGTGTTTTCAGAAACACAGATTGACCCGTGCACACCCACTTCCTTAAACCCAACCGATAAGGTTTTCAAAAACACGGATTGACCAGTGCCGACCCACTTCCCTAAACCCAACCAATAGTGTTTTTAGAAACACAGATTGACCCGTGAACACCCACTTCCTTAAACCCAACCGATAGTGTTTTTAAAAACACAGATTGACCAGTGCTGACCCACTTCCCTAAACCCAACCGATAGTGTTTTCAGAAACACAGATTGACCCGTGCGCACCCACTTCCTTCAACCCAACCGATAGTGTTTTTAAAAACACAGATTGACCCGTGCGCACCCACTTCCCTAAACCCAACCGATAGTGTTTTCAGAAACACAGATTACCCCTGCTCACCCACTTCCTTAAACCCAACCGAAACACAGATTGACCATTAAGGGTAATGTATACAGGGGTACATTTTCAAAATGAGCCTATGTTGAAAATAATTAAATAACTATATATAAACAGTTGAATACAAACGTATTTGTCCTGTGAAATTTAAATTATTTTTTTACTATAATGTACAGTATTAACAATATTAATTATTTTTTTTAATGTTATCTTATTTATTTTATATATACATGCCAAGGTCAAAATTATTACTAATTTATTTTTAATAATTTGCATAATTAACTTTATCTGGAATACATGTATCATGCAAAATATGTAGTGTAATAGTATGTTCTGTCATCATGGCAAACACAAAATAAATTAGTTATTAAAATTATTATGTTCAAATGTCACCAAAATATGGCGGCACGGTGGCGCAGTGGGAAGGACAATCGCCTCACCGCAAGAAGGTCGCTGGTTCCAGTCCTGGCTGGATAAGTTGACAGTGTGGAGTTTGCATGTTCTCCTCGTGTTGGCGTGGGTTTCCTCCGGGTGCTCCGGTTTTCCCCACAGTCCAAAGACATGGGCGAATTGAATAAGCTAAATTGACCGTAGTGTATTTGTGTGAATCAGTGTATGCTGGATAAGTTGGTGGTTCATTCCGCTGTTGTGACCCCAGATTAATAAAGGACTAAGCCGAAAACAGAATGAATGAATGAATGTGACCAAAAAAAAATACAAATTCGTCTTCACCTGGTAAATATCTGAAAAAGAATTTAAATTTCACAGGAGTGCAAATAATTTTGTCTTCAGTTGTACATATATCTTTAATTTCACTCATTAATTTATTTGATATATAGTAAATGAAAATTAAAAACTACAAATATCTAAAAAAGTAATACATAATAAATGAAAATGTTAACACTTTAAGATAAGGTTCCATTGGATAATATATTTACTAACATAAACAAACAATGACCTGTATTACAGGATTTATCTTTCAAACATCAGTTAACGAAAGCAGCCATTTATTGTTAACTCATTATGCATTAACTAATGTCAGCAATGATATTAATAATGCATTAGTAAATATTTAACTGTGACTATTAATGATGTACACAGACTTGAGTAAATACACCAATAATGCACCGTTATTTTAAAGTGTTACTAATAAAAATGCAATGCAAAGTTCATCCGAAATCAAACGTTTACATGAAAAAGCCACTATTATATGTGTTTTTCTGCATTGTTTTTCTTCAAAGTTCTAACAGATCTCCTTCAGATAACTGCGAGTTGTTGTTTGTTTCTGGGTCGTTTCTCCAGGTTAACAGCAGTGTTTGTTTTATTTCTGCAAACACACTTCTGAGCGTCTGTACATAGAGTTTCTTTCTCAGGATGGCAGAGAGTGGATTTTGCCTTACCAATGTTTGTTGCCTTCCTGAGCGACTGTAAAACACAGAGAGAGAGACAGAGTGTAAATCTGTGTACACTTCTGGATATACAGTATATATATAAATATATATATACATAACTATATCTATTTGCTGTGTGTAAATGTGTGTTTGCACAGGTGTGTAAGTGCATTTGCCAAAACCTGCAGAGGATTTGCTGATAACAGAGACATGCGTGTGTGAAAGTGTGTGTGTGTGTATGTTTAATGCGTCTCTCTATATATTAATCTGTAGAGTGTGAATTAACCATAAAAGCTCATCATATTTCATGCTTAAAAATCAAAAGGATAAAATTATTCAAATTTTGAGGCATGTTTTAAGACCATTATGATAAGACAAGACCACTAATAAATAAATTACAAAAAAATAAATAAAT